CTTAAAACCATGAAAAATCCCATACCCTGTTCAAGCATTGAAAGTGAGGGGCGTAAAGGGCGAAGGGGGAGTAAAGGGCTAATTAATTTCTGTTTTTTTACGATTGCCATAGTAAAAATGGGCGAATGGCAATTTTATCTAGGAGATGATTAAAAACAATTAAATAAACTGTTATACTGCCAAATTGAGAAAATCGGGAGCAAAAAATAATTTAAACTGTTATGTGAAAAATAAATGATAATGAAACATAAATTGAAGCAACTGCACTAAACAGGAAATGAGACAAGTGTGAAAAAATTGCAAATTTCATCAAACACCACTGAAAATCATTAAAAGTGATTGTAATTGATTATAATGTAGTATAATGATGCAGAAATTATTGGGATTGTAATTCTTTTTTAATCGCTTATAATCTAATATATTTGAATTCATCGAAAATGTGAATAAAAATCCAAAATAGTTTATTAGTATCCATGAAACTACAGTGCAGGTTCTTAACACTCTTGGTTCAAGATGGTTATTTTTGAACTTTCAGACAAAAACGAACCAAAACAATTACTCTTGGTGCCCAAAAAAGATGATACCAACTTATTGTTTTCACTTATTTTGTCCTTTTCAATTTTTGTTTTATACTTGTTTAAAAGTGTCGGCCTTAGAAATCCAACAGAAAAAAATAAGCATTAATTGAAATTTTAAAGCTGAATCTAGAAAACCTACGATTTCTAAACAGAAATTTCAGGAAGATAATCTGTTTTATGGATTGATTACTTTGCCAAGCTCATTTTCCAAGACTCGGATTTTTCCAACATTGTGTTTAAGAGCCGGCTTAGGAACTCTTCTGATTTAATTGTGATAGAATGTATGATTTTAATGTAAAAGTTTGTACATAAAAATTGATCGCAACAGAACCATTTTTGAAAAAAAATTGTGAGTAAGGTACTATTTTTTTGTTTGGTCCCTCAAAAATGCAGTGGTCCCTAAAAAAACAGAGGTGCAAAACTTGGGTTAATTCTCGCAGTAAGCATCTTCATTTCTCTATGTTGATTACACAGCTGGCAAAATTAGTTTAACTAGTACGAACTCGGTTAGCAACCCAATGCGTAGGTTCGAATCCCGCTCTTGCTTTTGTTGTGAATATTTATACATAATATTACACCACCCTGATACCCTTCTGTTTGTGTATGGAAACAAAAATTTAAAAAAGTTTACTTGTTTCCATCCAAAACAAAATATTATACGAATAGCGTCCACTATAGTGAAACTTTATACTGATTACTGATAGTGGGAGCAAAAATGCCAGAAACACAAAAAAGTCCTACTTTTTATCATCAGGTCTGCAAAAATCCTGAAACAGTTTACAAAACATAATTCGTTTTTTTGCGAAACAATTTTTTAAGATAAACTTCTTTATGAACTCAAATCCAGAAAATGATGATAGTCGCAATTTGTTTTTCATCAAACAATCAGATATTGCACCAAAACTACACCACTTAGCAGGGATAATCAGAATTCAATTTTAAAACAAGAGTGTTTCAAAATCTATGCTCCCGCATTGGAGTTTCATCAATAAAATCGATTATAGTGGTTTTTCAGTGACAAAAATAATCGACAAAATAATTTATTATACATGGCAAATTCAAAAACCTAAATCCTTTTTTAATGGATGATAAAAGCATTTTTTCAAAATAGAAAAATCCACGATAATCGAATTTCCTTTCAATATAATCAACTTTTTCTCAACATAAATACATAAGCAATTTGTTTCTCTACAAAATTTCATAATAATTGATCATAAAATAACTTACTCAGAAGAAATAAAGAGCAATTTTGAATTTTTAAGCATAACGAAACCAAAAAAAGAACTAAATCAACTCAGAAAAATTGTTTTTTTTCTGGCTGTTTTGTTTTTACAGTTGAGGTTAAAAGTTAAAAGGTGGAGGTTATAAGGCTGTTTTGTTTTAAAAGTTGAGGTTAAAAGTCACCTCGCCCTTCAACCACCCTCCTCCACCTTCCCGCATAAAACCTTGTTCAAGCATTGAAAGTGAGGGGGCGTAAAGGGCGAAGGGGTAGTAAAGGGCTAAATAATTTCTGTTTTTTTAACGATTGCCATAGTAAAAATGAGCGAATGGCAATTTTTATCTAGGCGATGATTAAAAACAATTAAATAAACTGTTAAACTGCCAAATTGAGAAAATCGGGAGCAAAAAATAATTTAAACTGTTATGTGAAAAATGAATGTTAGTGAAACATAAAATGAAGCAACTGCACTAAACAGGAAATGAGACAAGTTTGAAAAAATTGCAAATTTCATCAAACACCACTGAAAATCATTAAAAGTGATTATAATTGATTATAATGTAGTATAATGATGCAGAAATTATTGGGATTGTAATTCTTTTTTAATCGCTTATAATCTAATATATATGAATTCATCGAGACTGTGAATGAAAATCCAAAATAGTTTATTAGTATCCATGAAACTACAGTGCAGGTTCTTAACACTCTTGGGTCAAGATGGTTATTTTTGAACTTTCAGACAAAAACGAACCAAAACAATTACTCTTGGTGCCAAAAACAGATGATACCAACTTATTGTTTTCATTTATTTTGTCCTTTTCAATTTTTGTTTTATATTTGTTTAAAAGTCTCGGCCTTAGAAGTCCAACAGAAGAAAATAAGCATTAATTGAAATGTTAAAACTGAATCTACAAAACCTACGATTTCTAAACAGAAATTTCAGGAAGATAATCTGTTTTATGGATTGGTTACTTTGCCAAGCTCATTTTCCAAGACTCGGATCGTTCCAATATTGTGTTTAAGAGCCGGCTAAGGAACTCTTCTGATTTAATTGTGATAGAATGTATGATTTTAATGTAAAAGTTTGTACATAAAAATTGATCGCAACAGAACCATTTTTGAAAAAAAATTGTGAGTAAGGTACTAGTTTTTTTGTTTGGTCCCTCAAAAATGCAGTGGTCCCTAAAAAAACAGAGGTGCAAAACTTGGGTTAATTCTCGCAGTAAGCATCTTCATTTCTCTATGTTGATTACACAGCTGGCAAAATTAATTTAACTAGTACGAACTCGGTTAGCAACCCAATGCGTAGGTTTGAATCCCGCTCTTGCTTTTGTTGTGAATATTTATACATAATATTACACCACCCTGATACCCTTCTGTTTGTGTATGGAAACAAACATTTAAAAAAGTTTACTTGTTTCCATCCAAAACAAAATATTATACGAATAGCGTGCACTATAGATTGAGCTTTCACATTTGTTATTGTTTTGCGATCGAAATATTCAAGCGTTTCAACCACATAACGAATTCTTTTAGTTTTAATTGAAAACCCTTGGTAAAACAAAGATTCTAGGCACAACCAGATTAGCGAACGAGGGCATATTGCTTTAGAAATGTGCAGCTTGCACAGAGTTAAAAAAAATACAAGCTAATAAAATATTTCTTATTATAAATTTCACAATAAAATATATTTTATTGTTTATTAAGTTATTTTTAAATCTACTTATATATATTTTGTTGATTGAAATTTGTTATCACAAGAAAAATAATTTAAACATCGTATAAGTTTGATATCATCCGTAAGAACGGTCACAAAACTGTTCGTGTCAGTACGAATTTTTGAAGGTCATCAATAAATTTTGAAGATCATCAATAAAAAACAAAGAATAGATAAAATATTTATCCCAAACATGCAAATTTCAAGTTTTGCCTTTAATTTTGATAGAAAGAGATAAGCAAGTGAAATATCTGTCTAAGTGGAATATCTGTCAACTTGAAGTTGTGTCATTAGACTTATTTTGCTGCTGGTATAAATAAATTCAGTGCCTAAATGGTGTTAAGTAAATCGAAATTTGGAAAAAAAATCTTTGAAAGACGAAACTAATTTGATAGGAACCATAGGGGCTAGCATTTGTAGAGCAAAATTTAAATATGATAATTATTTTTTGTTGAAATTATAAAATTGAAAATTTTCTGAAGTTTCAAAGTTTCAGTTACCCAACTGTATCAGAGTAAGCTGACGCAGCTTTAGCAAATAGAAGCGCACAAAATCAAAAGATGTAAAATTGAATATATTCAAATAGAAAATTTTAATATCAGTTTTAATTGATTGTATTCAATTACAATGATTAATCAGAAAAATAAAAACATTTACATTTAAATACTTAGAATCAATCAAATTTTTCTTTATTTGATTATATTGAAAAATTATGGTCAAAAAATTTTAAAAACTTATTTTTTCTTGTTCAGTTTCCTAAATTAAAACCTAAACAAGCAAATTAAAGCTTATCCGATCTTTTTTTTTTCAGTGGTTTATTCGAGAAGAAACATGGGCATCAAAAACGGCCGTGATAGACTCTAACTAAGGCTCCTAAAATCTAACTTGACACATCTATACGTGATATCACGATGTTAATGAATTAAGCCCAAAATAACGAGCAAAACTAAATTGAAAAAATTAACTGATGTACTGCTTGAAATGTTTACAACACCAGTGAAACCTTCTTTTCCATGTCAAAATTTTTTCTTCAATTTTAGTTTTCTGATGAATCTGATGAAAATATTTTGTTCAGTATCTTGTAAACAGTATTTTGATGCTGCAGATCTAAAAAAAAGAAATTTGAGAGAGAAAAAATCAACTGAGATCAATTATCATAAATTAGTTTCTGAACTGAGAAATCGTTACCAAATTTCAAATCGTTACCAAATTTATGTGAATTATCTTTGGTCACAGCGTCCAATATAATTTAATGGTTACGTCAGGGGCAAAGGTTTCGTTTTTCAGACGTGTAAAATAGTCTCTTGAGAGCTCATTTCAAGAACTTCACTAGCAATTGCAAGGATGTGATTTGAATTCCAATTAACCAGTTGCCTAGTTTTTTTTCGTATTTGCTTTCCTATTTGAATTTATGCAAACAGGTACGTCTATTGCAGTTCACTTTCTGAAAAATTCGTCTGCAGATTTTTTTCCGCTTTTTTTGTTATTCGTATTAGTGACACAATTGCCTGAACAGATAAACAAATTGAACATGCATTTTTTTACTTTTTATAATTGGTTCGTCAAAAAGTGACGCAGCAGCCATAGTAATTGTTGCTTATCCCCCTAATGAAAGCAAATGGGTAAAAAACCATTGCAAACACAGAGGTGATTAAAATGGATACGCTTTTAATCAACCAAAAATATAGCAGAACAATAAGTTCTGCGTTGTATTTCAAACTCTCATAATTGTCAGATTGCAGGTAAGAATTTTATTTTTCAGCTTAGAAATTCCAGTTTTTATACATACTATTAAAAAGTAGTTCGTTAAACCGTCGAAATTGTTATCCAAAAAAATCTCACAGACCAGCACAATTTTTCCGTTAAGTTATTCGAAATTAATAGCATCAAGTCTGCTCGTTTTTCTTCCCTTTTGCATTTTTCAGGTTGTTCACAAAGAAAGTTTTTGAGTTGAAAAGCAAAAAAAAATTGGTATACCAAATTGATATCGGAAGAAAAAATGTTTCGTAATTTCCGTCAGTCTCGATTGATATATCTGGTCCGCTAGTTTGGAAAAAATGTCTCGTCTCTAAGGTTTGATCTGGTACTGTCTCTAGAGTCAGATCAAAGACCGTTTTGAGGAATTCATATTTTTTGTATCAATAATTTTTAGGTCGACCAAAGTGATTATCTAAGCTCTCTTTAGATATCCATAGAACTTATTTCGAATTCAATGTTTGCAGCTATACTTTCATGGGTTATTTGGCATATTTTGGATTGTTTTTCCCCAAACAATTTTTGTCGCATACTGCCCTCGCAGGTCAGAGTTTCAATTGTTTGACACAAAAAAATTTTGAGGCGGTTCGGGTGAATTTTTTTGGCGGAACACAAGAACACAAATGCAACTAAATTATGGTGACCTCCGAGGTTTGTTGGACTGATTGTTGGACCCCCAGTCTTCAGATTACAATTCTGATCGGCATGTCACTTCGATCAGACTGAGGATTGGAGTTCAGACTGAAATTTCATTTTGCTTGATCAAAAAGGGATCTTACTCCTCCATTTAACGACACCCAACTGCTTTCATCGAGTAGTACCGGGAGTCAATGCTTTCATCGAGTAGTACCGATCAAACAAGTTCACCTGATAAGAAATGATATGCTGCAAGCTTCTTCAGGTAAGTAGTATTAGAAATGACAGGTGATTTTGGAGAGGAAAACGCGTCTGCCAATTTTTCGTCTGTTGAATAGCGAGATTTAAAATCATCGGTTATCGAATCTAATGAACAAAATAATAATTAAATATTACTCCTCCAAGTTAAACATGGCTGCCAACGCGCACGATTGCATCAACTTCTGCAACAATTCATTATGCTGGTACGGATCTGATCTGAAGGATTTCACCTCCATTTGGGCCCTTGTGAACTAACAAAAAAGCATGCTTTTTCGAAAAGTTCACGCAAAGCACAAGTTTTCCTCCGCCCTAACAAATGAGCTGTCTGAACTCGAAACTTGTTATGGTTCACTGATGCAGGTAGCACCAGTAGATTTGGGGGGGGGGGGGGGGGTGGGGGTGGGGGTGGGGGTGGGGGGTTGCGGGTTTGGGGGGTTGCGGGTTTGGGGGGTTGCGGGTTTGGGGGCGGGGGACGTACTCTTCTCCCTCAGGGGTTCGACCCCATTACCGATCTGAAGTGTCCGCCTTTGTACTAACTCGAGACATCCATTTTTGGCTGACTGACCTTAAAATTTTTAATCGATTATAATGAATCATAATCAATTTTTTCTTAGTTTATTCTGAAAAATTCCTACACAGTGCAGTATATTATTCAAAATTAAACAGTCGTTTTTCGTTAATACATATTATATCAGATACAGCAAGACTTACTTTGGCTTTGAAAGTAATTACTTCGATTTCAATTTTTGGTTCTCATTTTTTTCTCATTAAAATTTCAGATTCTCATTTTTTAAACTAATTTTGAGGGGGAGTTTTTTGGCCTGTTTTTTTTTCAAAAATTTGACTGCGGCGCAGAAAATTGTTCACAAAATATGGTTCTTATAGTATTTTCGGAGAGCTCGGAAAATCAAATAGGTCGCCAAAAAATGGTCTGCCAATTTTTGAGAAAATCGCCCCCCCCCCCCCTTACAAAAAATCTTTTTTCGCACGCCACTGACTATATTGGATTACCGAGACTCTATAAATTTCAAAAATATTCGATTATAATCGATTAAAGAGGGATTACAATCTTATTTTTTGCCAAATCAAGAAAAATCAATTTTAATCGATTATAATCACCTATATTGGGTTGTTATTTTTTTTGTAAATTATTCTGAACACAGCGCAGTATATTCAAAGGCAGCGCAGTTTATTCAAAAATTTACAAGGTAACAGTTGACACCCCCTCCGCTCCCCGCTTACACATCCTTGTTTACATTCCCACCCCTCCATATTTACACGCCCCGTTCACACCCATCCACCCTGTTTGTTTCTAGAGCCTTTTGTTGATTTTAAGAATTTTTTTTTCAATAACTAGCCGTTCTTTCAAAAGGTTTTTGACAATTTTTTTAAATGTGTCAATTTTTGAGGAAAAGTTGCTATCTTTATAAGAGATAAGATTGCTGCAAGATAGTAGAAATTCTCTATAGATCATATTAAAATTTTAAGACAGGGGAAAATTTTGTAGCTGAGGACGAATTTTTTTCCCATACTTTTCCCAGTCAGGTTCACAACAATGATAAATTACGTTTAAAAACTGCGTGTAATTTTAGTATTTGCGCTAAAATGAGGAGAGCTTTTTTTCCAGAGCAAAAAAGTAGCTTTTTAAAATAATTTTTGTTATGTTTGTTCCTTTGAAAACCTTAGGAAATTAAATTTGTTCCGCCACATTTACATTTTGTTCCACTACGCATCCTTGAAAATGGCCGCAGGTAAATTGTGTTTGTTTCAAAACTTGTTTTTTTTCCTAGATAATAATAGCTGTATCGGTGAGTTTGAACTATATGATTTTATTGTTCCGGCTTTCGTAACAAAAGTAACGAAATAGTTATGCTCGGTGTGTTTTTTTTCTACTTCAGACACTTTTCGACTTTCTAACTAGCCATTTTTAACAACTTTTCATATATAATTCAAAATTTATTGTAGTTTTGAAAATAAATTTCAAGAAATAATTTAAATGTGATCCCTTTTTGTAAAGTTATGGGGTTTAAAGGTTGCCATTTTGGGCAATTTGGGACAATTAACGCTCGATACATTTCGCGCTATTAACGCGTAAGCTGAGATTTAATCCGTCTTCGATGGAATCCTTCGAAAATGATTAAAGGAAGCTGATTTGATACTAGGAGCGTAATTTATCCATTTGTACTTTATATGACGCGTGGGGGATGATTTTCACAAAAAATCTCAAATTAACCGAAAAAAAAACATTTCGTTTTATTCTATTACATTTAATTTTTTCACGTAATTACTGCTTCATAGACTTAAAAACGCAGTCTTGAACATACAGGGCTTCGCCCTGATACGAGCACTCTCGTTTTTAGTGTCCTCGTCAAATAAGGATGAGTACCGCCCGCTACTTTTCTTTTTCTGTTTGGCGGTTGGGACAAACTGAAGCGCAATCAAAATTGAGGGCGTAAAAACGAAGCCACGTGTCAATAAGCACACCAACTCACATTTATATACACTTATTCAACGAAATAGATGACTCGTTAGGGGAAAGATAGGTCAAGTTTTGTTTTGTTGAAAACTCTGCAAAAACCATCTTATTGCAAAAGAAATAATTAAGGTAACAAAATAACTGCAATCTTTTACATGCACTATAACTACCGATGCAAATGCCAACAGGCAGGCCAACAAGGAAAATAGAAAACTATACAAGTCATCAATCCTTTGACTTAATTATTATAAATTCGACATAACGTGTGGTATAAAAATCAAAAACCGCGGGGGATAAAAAAAACAAAAGAATTTTTAAAAGTGGTTCATTGTTTTGAAGCAGTTGAAAGATTTTTTTGAAAGTTACAGCAGACGTCAAGTTAGTTTGGAACAGTCAGAGCTGCATTTCATTTTTTTCGAAACAATTAGTTTTGGATTTGTTTTTAAGCAAACCGAGGCTGCTCGTATATCATAGCAAAGCCCTGAATATTCAGATTTCCCCTTAACACGTCTAAAATAGCTTTTGCTAAATAAAAACTGGCTAAAATACAAATTTTTGACGACCACATCAAGTATAAAGGACTGCAGTTTGATTTGAGTTATTATGCCTCATTAGCTTACCTTATCCAAATTTGGAACGATTATGATTGCGAGAAATTTCGCATGAATTTTACGCGCAATAAAACCATCAGACTTAATTGAGCAATGGCAAGCAAAATTCCCGCACTCAGTAAAAAAAGTAAACAAGACTGCTCGTATCAGGGCGAAGCCCTGAATATTCCAACTGCCTTTTAAGGTTTTATTGAGCAGTAATCACATCAAAAAATTAAATGTAAAAAAATAAAATGAAAAAAAGTTTTTTTCTAAAATTTGAAAATTTTCATGATAATCAACCCCCCACACGCCATATAAAACACAAAAGGCTAGATTTTGCTCCTTGTAACAAATCAATTATGGCAAAAAACTTCTTCCAAAAAATTTGGAACGATTTTAAGACGGATTATTTCTCCGCCCACGCGTTAATAGCGCGAAATATTTTGCGCGTTAATTGTCCCAAATTGGCCAAAATGGCAATACTTAAACCCCCATAATTTTATGAAAAATTACCACAGGTGAAATATATTTTCAAATAACAACAATAGCTTTCGAGTGATATAAAAAATTCCGTCAAAAATGGCTAAATGAAAAGTTGAAATTTGTCTGAAGAAAAAAAACCCCGACCACCCCGAGCACAAATATTCCGTAATTTTCGTTAACTCGGAGACTGCTTATTGATTGAACAAAAACTCACCTAGACATGAGCTTATTTTTAGCGATGGCGATGTTGCAATGGCTCAGAGTGCAGATTTCACCGCAAGTGCGATTTGAACCGAGAGTTGTATGCAGGAGGAGTCCCTTCACAACCATATACATCACCAATGAGATCATTTTTTGTAGTTTTTTCATCATTTTTAAGTTCACTAATCGGCTTTTTTGATAAAAAAATGTTTCCATATTTACATCCCGGATACACATTATACGCAATCCAATGACTCGAACAGTAAGAGATTTAATCCCTAAATCCGAGGGATTCTAGGTTGAGACTAATGGCTGACAAATCTTTGAAGCATTACGT